TAAGGAGGCAGAGATTGAGTTCTAAGCTGCTAAGTGGACTGGCATTTGTGAGGCGAAGTACTAGAGAGAAGGGAACTGCTCTGAGGGAATTTCCTAGAAGCCTGTGGGGATTCAGTGCCTCAGAGCCGGGCTGCACACACGCTGAGCAAGACTTCACAAAACCTAGCAGCAGCCACCTGCTGTGAGGGTGCAAGCTGACCAGTGATACCGGCGGTCATTCAGGAGTGCTAGTTGTTACAGTTAGACCTTGCTGAAACCTCAGTCACTCTGTAGATGTCCCAAAAAGGCCACTCTGAGCATTAAAGCCATAACCCAGAGCTAAATTTAAATGGAAATAGACCCACCCTAACAAAGAATAAAACTGAGCCTGATAAAACCAAAAGAATCTGCTGGTAATTTGAATGTGTGGCAGAATAGAACTCAACATCTATTGGTGGATGATGTAATCCAGACTCCCTTCAACATATTATCCACTACGTCCAGCATTTAATCAGAAGTTCCTAGGCATGTGAAATAAAGATTCGCAATCTAAAATAGGAAGATACGATCCATAATCAAGAATTCAAAAATCAGTAGCAACAGACCTCAAAATGGCCTAAATGTTGAAATTAGCAGCCAAGCATTTTTTTAAAAAACATACAGCTGCTGCTATATGTTCATGCACTGAAAGGAAAGAATGGTCATAGTGATTAACAGATGGAAAACATCACTGCAAATAGAAACTTTATAACGAATAAAGTGAAATTTTTAGTACTGGAAAGTTCAATATCTGAAATAAATTCACTGGATGGATTTAGTATCGCTGGATGGAAACTACAGAAGAAAGGGTATGGAACTTGAAGGCCGATATATGCAAATTATATAGTGTGGAATGCCAAGGACTTAAACCCCTCCCCCTCCTCCTGTCCTTTTATTTCCATCTTTCCAGAAGCATCCATAAAAAACAGATACATTATTTTCAAAGGTTGGTGATTATATGGCTTCAGATTTCTCAGCTACACTTAATATGATAAAAATATGGAACAACTGGAGTTTTGGGGGCTATAATTGTGAGCTGAGACTTTCACATATTGCCAGATTTTCTCTGATGCATGTTTTTCTTTGTATTTAGCTGAACAGAAGTTTGTGAAATATGCTTATATACCTTTTTTAAAACTTAAAAATACTTTTTGAAGACTTACTTTAGAATACCTTGGCAGTTGGGGGATTAGTACTGGCAATGATTGTCCCCTATGAAGCTCTCTCCTGAGGAAGTAATCTAAAATATATGAAAATTTTATGTATATTTTTATCATATATGTTAGAAAATACCTTATTGCTCACTAAGTATTCATATAAATATGTAGTCATTAAAATATACTAATAGTTGATATAAGAAAAATTCTTGTTTTAATAGTGAAAAAGAGCAAGATACAGATTTGTATGTTATAGTTCATCTCAACTATAAGTAAAAATGAGTTTTAAAAAAACAGCTAGCAGGAAATACCCAAAATCATGCCTCTTGATTATGGGCATTCATGAGGATCTTATTTTCTGTTTCTCTATATTTTTCCAAATTTTCTATAACGAGCACATAGTTCAAAAAAGCTTAAAGATAAAATGCATGAGTATGGGATAACAGTAAGAAAATGTTAATCTGATCCTGCCTGTGAATCTATTAATTGAGACTTTTTTCATCTAAAAATTCTCATTCTGTGTATTAAAAAATAATTTAAGTTTTAAAATATTTTGGAAAGGAGATTAAAAGCATCCTGAGTGAAAAATGCCTTACACACGAGTTTATACCATGATTTCATGTACATGAAGTTCTAGAATAGACGAACTAATCACTGGTGGAAAAAACATCAGAAAAGTGATTGTTTCTGGAGATGAGGGCAGGAATTGATTGGGAAGGAATATGTGTGACCTTTGGGGGGTGATAATAAAGTTCTGTATCTTGCAAAGGATTTAAGTTGCATGGGTGTATACATTGTCAAAACTCAGTGAATATACATTTAAGATTTGTGCATTTGTGTGTGAATTTTAGGTCAAAAGGAAAATAACTGCCAACAAAAAAATGTTTGGGGAACATACTGTTTTGTGAAAGTGTAGAAAGTCGAAACGGTTCCTTGCTGACTTTGTCTTCATACCCCACAGCCTTAGATAAATATTCCAGACTGAGATAGATGTAAGTCCAGTGTCCTCAGATAAGCACTTTGGGTTCACCTCTGTTGGTAGCACTTGCTAGATTGCATTGGAATTATTTGTTTCTGACAATGAACTGTGAGCTCCCAGAGGGCAGGGAATCTCTGCCATCTGGCAAATCGCTGTCATGTGCCCAGTACATAGTTAATAGATGAATACGTTTCCCTCTGCCCCTGTCCCCACCTCTGAATGATTCTCAACTCATCAAAATTCTTCTCTATCTTTTTTTTATAATAATTGATAGCTAGAATAAACACAAAATAACAGATTAATCTTTTAACATTTGTCATTTCAAGTTCTGTATTCAAGGAGATTGCTTAAAATTATATCCAAATATATCAGCAGCGTGCCTTAAATATCTGTCTTTTGATTGAACACTATGATTGAGTTGGTCGTGTTGTGGTCTCCAATTGTAGAATGTTTCAGGAGGAATTAATAGACTCCGGCATTAAATCATTTTGTGACATTTATTGTGAAGTTACTATATTCAGGAAATCTGCCTAGTCATTTTTGTGTATGGATTTAACCTCTGAATAAAATATCAAAATTAGACCACCTGAAGAATTATTTGAAAGCTGATCAGTTATATTCCTTTTTTTTTTAACATGGTCAAGAAATTCAGTTAGTGCTAGATGAAAAACAAAATTGTTTTATGGGAAGGATTAACTTAAATCTTTAAAACATTTGAAAAGTTATATGAAAGAATTTCTAGTAGAAGTCCTAAGGGAGATTAAACGCATACACTTAGCTACTTGGAATATTACTGTAGAATTAAAGTAACACTGAGTTGTTTATATGAATTGCTCATCTGTATACCATTTTATAGTTTATGAAAAAAATTTTATTTGCTTATTATTAAATAATAATCATTAGCATTTATCAGGTAGTATGCTCAGTGCTTTGCTTAAATCATCCTATGTAATCCTCACAACTCCGAAATTGGCCTTATTATCTATCCTCTTTTTACAGATGAGGAAGCTTTAAGGTTTAGAGAGGCAAAGTGATTGGCCTAAGGTCACACTCACCTAGTAGTTGGTAGCAGTGGATTCAAACTCAAATTTGATCTCATTTCCCAATCCAGTCCCAATCACTATACTTTACATTTCTTCCTTTTATGCACTAGCTATTGAAGCTTGTTTAACAAGTGTTTGTGGTGGACTTAGTATATATACATACTGAGTTGATGAATTAGTCTTGGTTCCTGTTCTGAAGGTGCTTTTAGTTGAGTATCCTTGATGCTCTGAGTGGTCCACAGACCAGCAGCATCAGTATCTTCTGGGAGCTTGTGATAGAAGTGCAGAATTCCAGGCCCTCGTCTGGAGTACAGAACCTGATTTAACATCCCCAGGTAATTGATGTGCCCAATCAGTTTACTAAGCACTGGTCCTCAAGACTTAGAATAACTTGACCAAGTCAGAGTAGTGAGGTTGAGAGAGGCATCCACATCATCAGATGCTAAAAGTATCTTGAGACTACCAGACTGATTTTTCTACTTTAAATAACATGTACATTGTACCTATGCTATTTGGTGAAAACCTCTGGATTCTTTCAAAAGCGTTTAAGATTGCATTTTAGAAGATGGTTTTGGAGGCATAATATCTTCTGATTTTAATGGAATAGGATATTAAATGCAATAGCAACCATTTATATGAGATCAAGTAACCATAGATTTCATTTGGCTATGTTAGTTTTGTATTACATTTTCTCTTTTAACTGAGATCGATTAAGTCTGGGTGAAAATGGGAAAAAAATGGTTCATATATTTGACCCATCGACCCACTAATTAGATTAATGAAGCTTAGAAGTAAAAACTTGATTTCCCCCCATCCCTTTTCAGTTTGCCTAATGCCTCTTTCCTAACACTGGATTTGTCATTTTTTAGATGTGGAAGTTATGTACTATGACTGGATTTCTGTTTGTGTACATGGCGCCCTTATGGACTAGCAGGGTCTGTGCTTTAAATATCTCCTAACAGTCCAAAATTTAACCCAATATACACATTCATGTATTAACAAACAAATGCTTTTTCACAATTTCACGTAGGAAGCACTATTCTGTTTCGCATGCACTGCCACTAACATAATATAGTTAAACAACTCCTAACTTTAAACTACTTCCTAGATTAAGGCAATAACTGATTTTGAGGATGGAAAGTGAATACATAGGCTTTTTTATTCTAATACTAAGGAGAAATAAAAATATCTGTAGCTTACATTTTATAAATACTGTAATTTTAGATTGAGCATGGCTTAGTTTTTTTTTCCACTGAAATGTAAAAAGAGATGTTAATATATCAAGAAATGGTTGAGCCAGATATTTTATAATGTAGTCAAATAATTTGATTGTAGATGTAGATTTGTCCTGTATTCTAGAAATTAGCTGGAAAATAATGAGTAGTAGCTATGAAGATGAAAAGCTAGAAAGATTTTATGGTATCACCTACCCAAACTCAGTCTTATGCCTCTACTGTCCTAATCTGCAACGTCATCATTCTGAGAAATGCCTTTCCTTCTCTCAGAAAAGCCTGATTCTTTCCTGTGAGCCTAAGAAATAATTAACAGTTAGAATTCAAAAGGCTTCCTTGTTGAAGTAAGGGCTTCAACCACAAAAAAAGATATTACATCAAGTAAGTACGAACTTTTTAAAAAGTTGAAAATAAGATTTACTTTCCACCCATAATATTATTAATCACTTTAATTATCATAGAATCTAGATTTAGTAATAAACATATTCGCTTCTATCTTGAAGGGCAGTTGGTGTTAATAAGTATGAATCAAAGATTGTTCAGAACTTTAAAAATGCATTTTATTTTTCAGCAAAGATGTCAAGGAAGTTAAGCTTGCCTACTGACCTAAAGCCTGATTTAGGTAAGTAAAATAAAAATCCATAGCAAACTCCCTTTAATGGGCAGACAAGGAAATCAGAAGGCTTAACATTACCATAGACTTGATTTTCATCGGAAATCAAGTTTAAAATGACTAAGACATGGAAGGATTAGTATAGTCTTTAGAATGCCATCTGTAAATTGTGAAAGATAATTATAAAATCATGTAAACCAAATAATGTATTTCTTCATCCCTCTCATACTTTAGATCTAAACGAAATTTAGTATAAGATAAAGATTTTTGCAGGTTCAGATTTCTATTAAAAGTTCTATCCCATTTGACCATCTGAAAACTTATTTTGAACTCAACAGCTTATACATTTATTTACTTTATAAGAATTTAATATTTTCAAGGTAAATTACTAGCTTTCTGTATTACAGCGACTCTCATATCAATAATCATTATACTTTTTGTTGATAATAAGTTGGGAAATATTTCTTTTTCTATAGGACTTTCTATGCAACTAGTCCATTAGGAAAGCACAGTGAATATACTCACACATTTCCTTTTGTTCCATATCCAGCTCAAAACAGCTCCCTGATAGCCCAGGATAGGGAAAAATGACATTTCAGTAAAGATAAAAATAAAATTTCATGTGATGTAAAGCATGGTTTCTTTATAAACTCATTTTTTTAATTCCAGAAATTTCTATTTAATTGAATAAGAAGTATGATCATGTAAGGATGATTTCACCCATCTTTGTCTTAGAAATAGCTATGTTTTCTCCTTTGCATTTGCTCATCCACCTCATCTTCTCACTGTTCTCTATATACCTTGACTACCTTTGTATACATATTACAAACTTAGGCATTGGTTAATTTCACCATACTAATTTTAGCATTTGTAAATCATACACTTATGTCAGTTGTACTGATAGATAGAAAGCATATAATTACGAGTTGGCGTCTTCTGTTGTCATCAGTAAAAGGTTACATTTCTGAACATAAGAAGAACAATTTAGTAGAACCTCTAGTATCACTGGTATCAAAGGAATAAGAATTAACCCTAGAATGTAGGATAACATGTTTGGAGAAGGGCATAGTTCCTTTCACTATAAAAATGAAAGACAAAATTTGAACCCAGTGGATCTGAGACTTCCAGTATACATTTTTGTTTCCAACGAGAGGCTCCAGAGTTTGCATCAGACTCTCAGGCCCATGATTTCAATAACATTAAATATGACTAGTTAAAATGGTTTTGAATCTTTTAGTGTCTTAAAAATCTGAGAAAATACATGTAGAAGTACTTTTAAAATTAGTAGAAATATCATAATCACCTATTTTTTAGAAGAATAGTTATAAATTGTGTAATAATCTAATGTGTACTCCATGCTTTTATAAGTCATCTTTAGTTTATGTTTTAGCTTGCGTACCCATGTATTTCAATGTCCTAAGCCAGTTATAACTGATTGATGTAGGTGTTGAAACAGTCGCCATGTTGCCTAAGTGATTTCCCGTGCAGTCATTGTGATGCTGAACTATTTTTTGATAAAGTATTCTTTGCTGGTAATTGTTTACATTGGCTAGGGAGACAATGGGGAAAAACAATTATACAGATAGGCTCAAACTGCCAGGTGTTGCTGAAGCTGAGGCTATAGGATTGTCCTGCAGCTCTGGAAGCTTCTGTGAGTAGAATTCACTATGAGGAAATTATGCAACCCTACACCTTGACTATAGCCTCACCATTTCAGATTCCATGGACCACAACTCAGGAACCATGGGTGATACTGTCAGACTTCTGATGTCAGTTTCAAGTGTCAACCACAGCAGGCAACACATCTAACTGTTATATACCTTGATGTGAATTCGTTTTTGTCCTGATTTTACCCTGACCACATTCACCTCTTAGCATTGTGTTTTAATTGGGGGAGATAGAAGTTTTGTGCATTAGACTCTTTGTGGGAAGGAGAGGGTGCTACGTACAAGTACAATGCTCTAGGCATCCAGAGAGTAACATGAGAGCAATGATTTTGTGACATGGTTGTATCAGCTTAGAGATGGATGGAGGTATTAATGACAAATTTTATCTGAGTTTAGAGATGTACCAGAAGACCACATAATCAAGGTGTGTGTGTGTGTGTGTGTGTCTAAAGTCTGAATTTTAATACTCAATAATAACAGAAACCCTCCACTTGTATGATATGGGAGATGTGACTAACCCTGTGTCTATCTGGACTTGTCTAGCAGAAGGTTTTGGACTTGGACATGGGCACAAATCCCAACTCTTCTATTAACTAGCTTTGTCATCCTGAGCAAGTCATTTAACCTGTCTGAGCCTCTGTTTTATATTATTTGTTAAGTTGTGATGATAATACTTTTCAGGGTTGTTATGTGGATTCCAAGAATAATAAATTATTTGGTATAAGTGTTATAATAGTGAGTAGCACAAGGTAGGCTTTGCTTAGTGGTAGCTATTTTCATTTCTGCTCTGGTACTAGAATTAAAATTAAAATTTCGATTCCATGTGTTTAACTTGACCAATTTCTAAAATTTAAGCCACGAACACCCACAACATCTAACTTAATAAGTAGTCAGTGGAAGTTGTAATTCATGAACTGCTGGAAATTCTAACGTGTTTTCAAACAGTTATAGGCAGATAAAATAAGCAGTCTAACTCTTAAGTTCAAAGTTGATTCTGCTTCACTTTGTTTTCCCATATTGATTAGTCTTAGGAGTTTCTTTGGCAATCTAATTTTTATAGAGAAGTCATATAATAGAAGTGCAATTGTAGTTGATGAATTTTATATAGTTAAGTTAGCCCATTAAATTAAAACACTTTATTTGGCCTGTAAATTAACATTTGAAGTATTAGATTGTTGTGAATCACCTATTTTAATTTTAACATATCAGTAAGAGTTTTTACACAGGTTAATTTACACTGCAGTTTATTTGATAATATAAACTTATCACATTTTCTTGTATTGAGTTTATTTTTATCATTAGGTCACAACTGAAGATACATGTTTATTCATTTTGTATGTATATGTTTTATTAAAATAAATATTTTTATCACTGGAAAATAAATTTAAAATTTCTGTTATTTTACTAAAATAACTTTGGAAACTATGAAGAGTTAATATTTGAATCAGTATCCTAAGACACACTCATCCAGTAATGAGTTCTTGTTTATGAAAAGTTGTTTCATTTACAGTAAGCAGTTCTTTTCTACAGTGTCAGAAAGTACAATCTCAGGCAAAAAAAAATATATATATATATATATATATATATTTATATATATATATATATATATATATAAATATATATTTATATATATATATATATATTTTAGAACTGTAGTCAGAAATGACCCCATGCTGTTGTCATAAGTAGTAGCTTTATTGTTTTCAGAGGCTAACTGTAATCAAAATTATATTGTATATAATTATTTGGGGTAATAATTTTCAGTCTACAAATTTAAATTTGATTATGAAAAGCTTTGGAGGAGTATAAGTAGGATCCAGTTATACTTTTTTTATTTAATAAAATACAACTTAGAAGACTTTAACATGTTTTATTATTTTTCATATTATGAAGTCATTTCTTTCATGATAACATTGAAAGAAAGCATGTGATGTGAGGAGTGATTTATTAGATGTAAACAATGGAAGCTACTAGAAAATTTAATATACCCCAGTGGTACAGCAGAAATCCATTCATTTACTTCCTTTTAGCTGCAGATGGCTCTTCAGCAAATACTTCTTGCATGCTTTTTTATTGGGTTGTCGGAAAAGTCATGATGCATTTTTGCAACAAAAAAACATAGAAAAATTATGTCATGACTTTCCAACAACCCGATATATGCAAGGCACTATGCTAAATTCAGGGCATCAAAACGTCACAGCCCTTGTACTCAAGAAACTTATAGTCACTTTAGAGCGAGGCCTAAGACAAGTCAGAAAGAACTACAGAACAAATGTACTATTAGTGCCATGGGAGAAAGAAAACTATATCAAGATTCAAAAGCAAGAAAAACTATGTATGGTTTTAGGAATCAGGTTAAACTTCATGAAGATGACAGTACCTGAGATAAGCACAATCTTGATAGGTAGAGAAAAGGGTGAAGCAAGGGCACCAATAAGAAAGAAAACAGAAGCAAAAGTCTAAACGTAGGCAAGCACGAAGTATATTTGGAGAACACTGAATGGCTCAGATTCTTTCCCACAATGAACTGAAGCAGAGTGGCATTGGGAGACTCAAGGAGGATATGCTGGAGATATTTTGTGGAGAGCCTTAAATATTTAAATAAGATTATAGGCATGATCAAATGAAGAGGAACCACTGAGGATTTTTAAAATAGAAACGATAGAATTGTAACTACCTTATTTAATTGACTTGTGTTAGAACAGTGACAGTGAAGGTGGAAATATCACTTGGGAATTGTGCAGTAGAGGGATGATGGTGAAGACATGAACTTAGGGTGCTGGGAGTTGATTGGTAATGGAAAGAAAGAAGCAACCCTGGAATAAAACAACATAGGACTTGGCACCCCATCAGATGTACAGGTAAAGTGAAGGGGAAGAACCAAAACTGCCACTCATTTAGGGGACAAGTGTGTTATTAATAGAAATAGTACCATTAGAAGAATTTAAAGCTTTTGGGCAATGATGAGTTTTGATTTTGCATAGTGAGACATAACAGGAAAAAATTCCCATAAGCGTTTAGAAATGCAGTTTCAAGAGATAAGGGGAGGCCTTGAGACAGATTTGAAATCGACCAAAAAGAAGAAGGTAGCTGAAGACAAGAGAGTGTTTCTTAGTATAATTTATAAGTATATCTGTTACTACAGACAGAGCTGGGTGAAGGGAATACACCAGGTATCAAGTCAAGTGTGAACCAGATGCCATTTATACATTGTGATGAAAAACCTTAGGCGAATGTGGATTACAGTTAAAATGGCATTCAAGAAATGTGAAAGCTAAATTTTTATGGGTTAAAGGCCTTTATATGGACAGATTGGGGGAGGGGGGAGTATGTCCATCATCCAGTAAATTTGAAGGTAGAATCAGAGTACTTCTAAATGCATTTTTTAAATGTAAAAAATTGAAAATACCCACACTTCTAATTCTACCTAACCATAAAATTGTGTTACCAAAGGAAGAAACAGCACCATGAGAAAAGAAAGTGGTGTAAGGGCTTAGAAGGTGGTATAAGGGCAGCCAGGATACCAACAGAGAGCTGCACTAAAAACCATAGAGATCACACATCCAAAAACTTACTGGGATGCACCCAGCTCAGTTCTGAGAAGTATGGATTTGATGATTTGCATTTTATATGTAAGCAAAGGAAAAGTTATTAGCATACAAACTGTTTTTCTTTTCAATTAAAAGATTAAAATTAAATGTGCAATATAGATTTTTGTCTTTTTGCAGGTTAACTATTTGGCCAAATTTATACCAAACAAAAAAAGTGATATTTTATAACTTGAACAGTCTCACATTTTAAATCATTTCAGATGTGAAAGATAATTCCTTCAGCCGATCCCGGAGTTCAAGCGTAACCAGCATTGATAAAGAATCCCGAGAAGCGATCTCTGCTCTTCATTTCTGTGAAACTTTTACTCGAAAGGCAGACTCATCTCCTTCCCCGTGCTTATGGGTTGGCACGACCTTGGGAACGGTGCTCGTCATTGCACTGAACCTTCCCCCAGGAGGAGAGCAAAGACTTCTTCAGCCAGTAATCGTGTCTCCAAGTGGTGTGTATACTCCGGTGCTGCACGTACAGTGAAGTTTTGATTTGCTGTAATTTAATAGAAGCCTTTGCTTTTCATTTTGGAATCAATCTAAGAATCCTAAAATGTAAATTAAATGTGGATAGTTGCAGTCTTATATTTTTAATAAAGGAATACATGCAATAATATTCCAGAATATCATTTATTTATACAGCCATTCAGGTTTTGCATTTTTTAAAACTAGGATCATGTCTAAAATGATTACTATGTAAGAAAATGGAAAAACACTGTTATTCTAATGCATTCCAGGGTACTTCAAAGTATTATGTTCTGTACACAAAAGGATGGTACACATTTAGGAGAAAAACTATGTAGAAGAAAAACACATTTTTAAACATTATACATAAATATATTTAAACGTATATTTAAACAAATATATTTTTAAACATACACTTGGCTGTTTTTAATCTGTAAATGTGAAGTCTTAAAATAGATTACTTTTCTTCTTTGAGGTATTAGGGAAAGGTGGCTTAATAGCAAATTTAAGAAGAAAAAATTTACAGTCTTCATATAGTGAAAATGAGATTGAATTTTATCAAATGTATGTGGAATCTGATAGGTCTGGAAATAACTAAGAATTCTGGTTTCCATTACTAGTTTATGCTGATCTAGATAGAAAAAAATGTGATTTTGCTCATTAGTGTCTCTTGTTTATATAGTAAACTTTTAACAATACTTGGAATTTAGAATTAAAATTTTTGAACTATCTTTACATGAAAGGAACTTCGATTTATTCATTCAATTCAATATTTGAGTATATACTGCTTGCCTAGTTATTAGAAAAGGTTACATAATGATATTCTTATGAATCTCATTTTTTATTGGTAAACAAATATTAGTAAAGGAAAAAAAGCTAGAAAGATGACAATGAAAATGGTAATAGTAATTATGACTGAGTAATGGGGTTATGGGTAATTTTTGTTTTCTTTTTACTGATTTGTAATTTCAAAATTTTCTACAACACACCTGTATCAGTTTATAATAAGAAAATAAATGTTTCCAATAAATAAAAATGAGAGAGTGATTAAGTATAGATAATTTGCTATTAACTACATAAAATATTTAAGATATTTTCTGACTTGCAAGACAATCAAATTAGTTATAATTTCACTCTGATATAAAAATAATTTTTTTTAAAGATTTTTTATTGGGGGATTGGGGGGATGGGAACAGTGCTGGGGAATTGGGGGAAGGGGAACAGACAAGTTGCTGTTGTCTTGTTCTTCAGTCTAGTTGTGGAGGACGTTGCTTCACTGGCCCAAGTTGGCACCATCATTGCGCTCTTCCCGGGCGAGGCAGATCAGTCGCCGGCTTCTGGACGGCCACTCACTGCGGCTGCTGGCCGCTTACGCCGGCTGCTGGCTACACACGGTAGCCCATGGCAACCCAGTGCAGCAGGGGCTGCAGCCTACGCCGTCCCTGGCGACTCACGGCAGCCCAGCTCCAGGTTGAGCTGTTGTTCAGCATCTTAGCTGCAGAGGGCAGTGTCACTGGCCCTCATATGTGGGATCCGAAACGGGGCCCTCTGGCGTCCGAAGCTAGTTCTTAACCATTGTGCCACTCGGCCAGCCCAAAAATAATTTTCATATGTAAAAACAAACCTTTGAGTTCCATCTCAAAGGTGGAATCTTTGAGATTTATTTTTTTAATAAGGTACCTATTTTAAAATGTCACAGTGACATTCATGTTATGTTATCTGTATTATATAATAACTATGAGGAAAAGAGAGCTGTTTTTCAAGCAGATGGGTTTCTGTACTTATGGTCTATTTTGTCGCCAATTTATTTTTTCCTTCAAGAGGAGAGCCCAACAGTTACCACTGCTCTGCTGAAAAACATATAAAACCCTAGTAACTATAGGACAGGCATACATTTAAATATTATCTTGGTACATTTTTAGAAAATCCACTGTATCTCACATATGTTCATATGTGTAGTTCTCAAATTAGCCAACTGTTTATAATAAATTGTCTACTTGCAAAACCTGGACAATAGACTGAGGTTACCAGATTTAGCAAGTGAAACACGGGATGTTCAGGTAACAAATACTTTTTAATTTTAAGTATGTCCCATGCAGTATTTGGAAAGCTAATGTAGTATTTGGGACATACTTATACTAAAAATTTATTCATTATGTATCTGGAATTCAGATTTAACTGGGTATTTTTTATTTTATCTGGCAACCCTGCCATAGACAAAATATATAAATGCAAAGAAGAAAGGAAACAATATTTTGTCTTCTAAGAAGAATTTTGAGAGAACATTAGGAACTCTTCCTCTTAGAAATAAAAAAAAAAATCAGGAAAAATTTTTGCAAACTATAAAATATTATGTAAGTATAAAGTAATAAAATATGAAAAGTCTTTTAAAATAAACTGGGAGGCTAAATCAAGTCCGTACTCTCCCTGTCATTGATTTCCAAACTCTTAATACTATCATTTAGCTTACTTAGAAATCAGCATAAAGCATATTTACATTTTCAAGGATGTAGAGGAAAGGAAGTCCCAAAGCAAGTCAAGAAATATCACCACTAAATTAAGATTATAAGTTGACCAAAATGATACCTTGAATGTATTTGACATTTACTAGTAAATAGTTTAAAGGGAAATCATGATTTTCTGAAGTTATGTTTAGAAATATGTGGAAAATTCTTTTCTCATTGGCCCTGTAGCTCACTACTGCCCATTCAAAATGCAGTGTGAGCTACACATAGAATTTGCATTTTCTAGTAGCCATATTAAAAAAGTAAAAAAATAATAATAAAATTAATTTTCATAGCATTTTATTTAGCCCCATATATCCAAAATGCTGTTATTTTAGCATATAATCAGTATTTTTATTGAGATATTTTATTTTTAAATATTTTTTGTAGTGAGTCTTCAAATCAGCATGTATTTTACCCTCGTAGCATGCCACAATTTGGACAAACCACTTTTGAAGTGCTGTGTATATAGCCACACATGGCTAGTGACTGCCATGTTGGACAGCGCAGCCCTAGGTGCCATCTACTTTGCTCTCATTCTTGTTGGCAGTACACTTGCCAGGTTTGAGAGAAGGTATAGTTCCAGAAATCCCAGCATTTATGTTTGGTGGTACCTATCTATTTGGGGCATGTAATACTGATATATTTTTCCAGATTCAAATATCACCTGAAGTATGAATCCTGTCAGTACGCCAGTGTCCTGTTTTAGTTTAGTATACATTTAATATATTTTTGAGTGTTGGAAAAATGTATTTATTGTGTGGATTAAAATATTTGTCTACTAAACTCACATATTTTAGGTACTATCTTGAGGTTGAAAGGAGCGATCCTGAGAATGGCATTCCTGGACACCACAGGCTGCTTGGTGCCCCCTGCATATGAACCCTGGAGAGAACACAACGTTCCTGAAGAAAAAGACGAAAAGGAGAAACTGAAGAAAAGACGGCCAGTCTCCGTATCCCCTTCCTCTTCTCAGGAAATTAGTGAGAACCAGTATGCAGTGATCTGTTCTGAAAAGCAAGCAAAAGTAATCTCACTGCCAACCCAGAACTGTGCTTACAAGCAAAACATTACAGAGACCTCATTTGTGCTTCGTGGTGATATCGTCGCTTTGAGTAACAGTATCTGCCTTGCCTGTTTCTGTGCCAATGGACACATCATGACTTTCAGGTAAGAGTTTGGGAGTTTTTAAAGCACAGATAATAGCATTTCCTCCTTCAAGACATAATATTACAGAATTATATTCAGCTTGAAAGAAAAGCTTTTATTTATTTACAGTCTTATGAATTTAGAATTTAATTTCATTCAGTTAATAGTGAACAAGTATATGAGGAATACAAATCATTTTTATCTCCCAATCGAGTGCACTAAATCCTAAGGTTTATAAGGTCCCTGTCATTTTTACCTTCTATAATAGTTTGTTCAAAACTAAAACTACCTTTTTTTACTATTAACAAGTTTTTCATTTTTTTTCTCAAGTTTGCCAAGTTTAAGGCCTCTGTTGGACGTGTATTACTTGCCCCTTACCAACATGCGGATAGCCCGAACGTTCTGCTTTACCAACAACGGACAAGCCTTGTATCTTGTCTCACCTACAGAAATTCAGAGGCTCACTTACAGTCAGGAGACCTGTGAGAACCTTCAGGTAAATAACGAAAATATTGCTATGGTTTCTCCAGAGGTAAAGTATTATTCTCTTAGGTCCCTTATAATGTGCATCCCTCACACTCACAGTGTACAAAGGCACCCACATGGGAAAATCCAAACCCTTTATTGAGACTTTCAGAGCACATGCTTTGAGACTTAAGTAGCTTCATCAGACGCTTGTTATAAGAGGGACTTCATCTCATTGACTCATATTTTTTTCTCTCCAGTGATGGCAAAGATATATGAAATGGTACATACATTTTACACCCACTCTCCACATTAAATCAATATCCATTATACACACACGCCCAAAATATCCTTTTTAAACAAGTATGTTAATGTGAAAATAATTATATTTACGTGTATTTTAGGGCAAATTATGCCATCCCTTCCCTGTAATCACAAGGATATATATGCATTTAAGAAAGCATAAGGTTTAATAGTTTTCCTGGGTATTTTTGTTGATGTCTTTGTGAGCGACTACAAACAAATTCTTTAAATATAAAACTGTCTTTTTCAAATATTTGAGTGCCTTACATGCTTATATATAAGAAATAATCATTTTAGCTTCACCATTTAAAGTAAAATTGCTCTGGAAATATTGAGCTAAAATATTAATTTCATATTTGACATTCAGAGGAAACCATATCTAAGGGAACTTTATCATGAAAGTTTTTGCAGTTGATTAGCTGTATTTTACGCGTTTGTAAATTTGAATTCATGGCTTATTTTTAGAACATGAGCTTTAGAGTCAAGAAGACAGCCTTGCTAATTACAGAATTATGTGACCTTAGACAAGTTACTTACTGGCTCTGAGCTTCATCATTTTTAAAATTAGGAAAAAATAATATCTATGTCATAGGTCATAGTGTGGATTAGGGGAGACAATGCACATAAAGTGCTCAGCATAGCATATGCTCAATGTCAGATGTTAGTAGTATTATTTCAGTAAGCTGGACTGTACTGAAAATGTACTCCTAATGATATTATAAACCTTGAGAGTGAAACAAAAAGACATGATATTTTAGATTGAAGTTCCCATTTATATTTGGGTGGAAGTTTTTTCAAAGACTTCTAAGTTTTTTAATTAAAATTTTGCTCTTTATGGGAAAGATAAAATTTTCCTTTAGTGTTCCTTCAATAGTAAGATGTTACTATATTAAGAAATATAAATGGACAATTGAATATATTTTAATTCATTTCAATCTGAAACATAGTCTTAATTCAACTATTCAAAACTCTAAACATCACTTTTCTGGAATCAACTTATTGTACCCTTTGATCAGTGTTTTCTCTTACTACTTTAGTAAAAATCAATAGCAGATGCAGTAAACGTTACCAATTTATATTTAAATGAAATGGTCATTTAGTAGTGCACGCAATTTATTTTAATCACTATCTACTATGTACCTTCATAATATGAAGATAAATGAAAAATGGACTCTGTTCAAAGTTTGTGATAGAATGTTTTCTTTGGACGATACTGACATTTTATTTACCGCTGTATTTTCGGTGCTAAAAATAATGCCTTGCTAAAAATCCATTGAGTAAAGAATACCATGAACTTTACTTATAAACACTATTCCTTGGTTCCCAGAATGCCCTGTTACATTGTGCATTCGTTTAACTTTAACCAAAAAAAAAGTAGGCATCTTCTTAGATGCCTACAAACATTAACCAAGTTTCCAGCCAAGGTGAAATAATAGGGACCAGATTAACCTCCCTGCCTGAAACAACCCAACACACACAAAAACATGAAACAAGGGTTTTCAAGATCCTGGACATCAGGCAATGAAGGAAAGTAATCCCTGAGAGATAAGAAACAAAGGAGGTACTCCAGCTTTAACGCCTTGATAGAGTTTCCAGAACATGGCACACAAATAAGGTACCGAGACAAAGTATTACCTACTTTCCAAGTTGAGGAGACAGAACCAAGAGTCTAGGAAGACCAAGTAAGGGAGAATTCTTAGAAAAGAAAAACAAAGAAGAGAGAACCATACAGAGAACTCTGGAAATCTGCAGAGGGTCCCCCAAGAGTATTCAGTCAAGTACTGTTCAGCACATGCATGTAGATAAACGCTCTGGCCAGGGAAAGAACCATCTAGAAGGAACAGAGGGAGTTAAGCCCTGGTGTCAGGGCCAGAAACAGCGCCTACTCCTAATAGCCAGACTGGAAAATACTTACAATTCATCAGTGTATCCATTTCCTGAGGCTGATGTAACAGATAAACAATAAACCATAAACTTAGTGGCCAAAACAACATAAATTTATTCTCTCAAACTTCTGGAAGCCAGAAGTGTGAAATAAGTTTCACTGAGCCAAAATCAAATTGTTTTCAGGGTCCTGCTCACTCCAGAGGCTCTAGAGGAGAATCTGTGTCTTGCCTCTTCCATCTTCTTATAGCTACTGGCATTCCTTAACTTATGGCTGCATTACTTCAAGCTCTGCATCCCTGGTCATGCTGCCTCCTCGTCTTCTGCATGTGTCAAATCTTTCTGCCTCTGTCTTTTAAAAGGGAGCTTGTAATTGGATTCAGTACTCATCCATTCAAACTAACCCAGGATAATTTCCCCATGGCAAAATGCATAATCACATCTACATAGACCTTTTCTTGTCAGGTAACATTTATGGGTTCCAGATTAGGATCTGATACCTTTAGACAGCCATTATTCAGCCTACTTCAACTGGGAATTGGGTAAAGTACTCAGGAGGTCTTGGCTCTTTAGTGTGGAATAATTACCCTTAAACTGAACAGTGCTCCATACCTGCCTAACAAGTCATGAAAGCAAGACCGAAAAGGATCAGAATGTTTTCTAGTATCCCAGAATAAAGCTCAAGGCAACTTAGAGGAAATAAAAAATATCCAGTGCCCAACAAGGTAAAAAAATCACATTATCTGGCATCCAGTGAGATTACCAGCCATGCAAAAAGACAGGAAAACATCATTACTGAGAATAATAATCAGTCAATAGAAACCAAAGCAGAACTGACTCAGACATTAGAATTAGCACAGAAGGAAATTTAAAGCAGATATAAATGTATTCCATAGGTTCAAAAAGTTGAGTGAAGACATTGAAGATATAAAAGGCCAAAATTGAATATCTAGAAATGAAAACAGTGTTGGAGATGAAGAATATACTAGATAGGATTAACAACAGACTGCAATGTAGAAGAAAAGATTATGTAACTTGAAAGTATAGCAACTGAAAAAAACAACAACCAACAACTGAGTGTTTAAACTTGGCAAATTTATAGCACTAAAACACCTATATTAGAAAAGAATTTTCTCATCAAATCAGTGACCTCAGCTTCCACCTTAAGAGACTGAAAAAGAAGAGCAAATTAAATCCAAAGTAAGCAGAAGAAAGAAAAATAATATTGAAGTGGAATCAATGAAATTTAAAACAGGTAAACAAAAAAAAAAACATTGAAACTAAAAGCTTGACTTCTGCAACCAATAAAATTGGTCTCAAGCGAGACCCATTATAAAAAGAAGTTACAGATTATCAATATCAAGAATGAGAGAAGCGTTGCTTAAGAGCTCACTCAAGAGTTTGAGCTCTGAGCAACAGCTGTTCGAGTCCCTGCCCGAGCTGAGCAGCCACTGAGCTGCCAACAGGTGGCAGGATGGCTCAGCTAAAAAAAATAACTAAAAAAAAATAAAATAAAACGGAGTCATTAAAAAAAAAAAAGAATGAGAGAAGTGACATTACTATAGAGTCTACAAATGTTAAAATGGAAAAGGAAATATTATAAACAACTTTATGCCAAAAGATTAATGGACAAATTCCTTCTGAGACACAGGTTACCCAAGCTCATTCAAGAAAAGATAGATAACTTGAGTAGTACTGTATCAATTAGAGTGACTGAAATTAAGGTTAGAAACCTTGAACAAAGCGTATTCCAGGCCCAGATGGCTTCACTGGTGAAGTCTATCAACATTTCAGGTAGAAATAATACCAGTTCTACACAAAACTCTTCCAAAAATTGAAGCAGGAAATGCTTCCCAACTCACTCCATCAAACTACCATTAACATGATACCAAAACTAGACAAAGACATTAAGGAAAAGAAAATTACATATAGACCAATATACTTCAAATATATAGGTTTAAAAATTCTAAACAAATTTTAGTAAATTTAGCAAAGGATAGTTCTGTTCATGATAACTTATCATGACCAAATGGGATTTACCCCAGAAATGCAGGATTGACTTAAAATTTTTAATCAATATAATTCACTGTATTAATAAGCTAAAAAAAAAATAGAAAGCAGTTAACAAAATCCAGCATCCATTCCTGATTTTTAAAAGTATCTCAACAAACAAGGGATAAAAGAGAACTTAAAGGACATCTAAGAAAAATCGATACATAACATAATACTTAATAATGACATACTGAATGATTTTTAAAATCAGGAGCTAGAAAGGAATGTTCACTCTCAACACTTCTTCCATTCAGTGTTGTATTTAAGGTTTTAACCACTGCATTCAGGCAAGAAAAGGAAAGGCATCCTGTTTGGAAAGAAAAAAATAAACCTGTTATTATTCACAGATGACATGATCATCTATATAGGAGATATTGTCACGTCCAGCGTGGCAAGGGCAAACGGGTTTCTCTTAAGGGGCGACGCAAATTGAATAAGAGCAAGAGACAAAAGTAAGATTAAGAGCGAGACCAAGGGACTCAGCCAGAGAAGACTGAGTGAGCCCCGAATCAGGTCAGCGCATGGCTTTTATTGAGAAATTTGAAAAGAAGTGAAACTGCTTCACTGCTGTCAATCAATTTGTAACCCGTGACTTATGTGTGCCTTAAGACCTTTTCCATTAGCATTCCCTTTGTGTTCCAACACATCCTGTGCCTTCACACTTCCTCCATGTAGCCCCAAGACACTTTGTTACTGTGTCCTCCCAGGGGAGATAACTATTATCATTCCAATAGGTCCCAGTCACCTGAGACACTCCCGAGAGAGTTTTACAGATATCATTCCATCCGGCCT